ACTTTCCAGACATCGCGCTGCTTGCAAGCACTACCAGAAGGCAAGTACATTAGCTGGAAATAGAAGGCGGGAGCGTGCAAAAGATTCGGTCAGATCATCATGCAAATTGAGTCCACACCGCGACCGGCCGCAGCCTCAGGCTACTACTAGTAGTCACGGTAATATTATTGTAAGTATTTTACATATGGCGCTTTAGAACTGCGGCCATGTAGACTGACGTATCAGACCCCGCCGCTTGAACCGATAAGGTTCATCAACGACCGCCAGTTCAAGACCTATAGCTAGTTGCAAACCTTACGAGTTCACTGGCAAGCCTGACTCCGAGTCAGAGGGCCAGCCTGAGCTACCTGCTAAGGTGATCAATCCTGACGCTCATAAGGCTCATATCGGTTCATCAGCTCCTACTATATCACAGGACTTGGACTCTTCAATGGGGGAGGATATGATCGTCGAAGGACACCATGATGATATTCCAGGTATGCGGCGCTTTCACAATTTTTGTCGATTGATTTATGCTCATGAATCACCAGCAGCCCCATATCAACATCCATTGCGACGCACATTCATACCAAGGAATTTCGACGATCTTCTCCCTGAAGACGAAGACATCAATCCTTCGAATGTTCCTGGGGTTATTCCTTCTCTTGTTCCACCGCATCGCAGAATCCGAAGAGTCCTATTGACGCTACGTGACACGCTCCAAACAGCATTTAACATGTTCGGACTCTCTCGACAGTATCCTCGGCGCCCATCGTTTGAGCCTGATAACTTCGTTCCCTCTTCGCTGCTAGCACAATCCTCACCCAGACCTATTGAAATCCACGATACTCAAGGATCTGATCCATCTTGCGGGGTCTCTAAACCACCGCCGCACCCCTTCCCAAACATGACCATCTATCGTCTCATGACGTGGATGACCTCTGGCAGTCATCGAAAGTCGCAGACGGAAGTAATGCGTCTCGTTCAAGATGTGATTCAAGTCGAGGATTTCAATCCGAAGGACCTGGACGGGTTTTCTGTTAGGAGGTGTCTACACGCACTGGATGGTCATACTACAGGCAGGGAGCCTGCTTCTTTTCCCGACGATTGGGTAGAGACAGATGTCAATATTGACATCCCTACGAAGTTGAAGGACGATCAGTCTCAAACATTCAGTGTTTCGGGATTTCATTACCGGCCGCTCGTAGCAGTCATCCGTTCTGCATTCGCCGATATACAGGCCAATGCTTTCCACCTTTTCCCTTTCAAACACTTGTGGAAGGATCCCCTCGACAACCAAGAACAGCGCGTGTTCGACGAGCTCTATACATCCGACTCTTGGTTACAAGCTCAGGATGACCTACAACGGCAGCCAAAAGAACCTGGCTGCTCACTTGAACGCGTTATCGTGGGGCTCATGTTTTTTTCAGATGCAACACACCTTGCGAACTTCGGAACGGCTAAGGCCTGGCCTCTTTACCTGTACTTCAGAAATCTGAGCAAGTATGCGCGCTCATCCCCCACATCTGGTGCGTGTCATATTGTAGGATTTTTACCTTCGGTATGCCAATAACCTCCCGCGCCGTGTGACCCCATTTGATGTTTATTTGGTTCAGCTTCCGAATTGCATCAAGGATGTTTTGAACAGCCTACCTCGCATGTCAAAAACCGGCATCATGGCCCTACAGACACATTGTCGACGAGAGTTGTTCCAGGGATGTTGGAACATTTTGCTGGATGCTGAGTTTATTCGCGCATATTGCCACAGACTTGTGCTCCGGTGCCCGGATGGGATATTAAGGAGGGTCTTTCCACGAATATTCACTTATTCGGCAGATTACCCAGAAAAGTGCGCTTTTTCTCTTCATCTTCGTACTTAGTTGAAATATTATATTAATCACTATCTCAGGGTTTTGATCGCGACAATCAAAGACATGGGCTCTTGCCCGTGTCCACACTGTCTCGTTCCGAAAGTATCATTTGATCTCTTAGGCCTCTTCAGGGATATGCGAGATCGTGTGGAAAGCCTTAGAGCTTACCCTCTTGCGAAGGTGAACGAAGCCCGCGATTTCATATACAGATGGGGAAATACTGTCGACGGCTCGAAAGTGTAGGCGACACTTGGGCAAGGGTCATGGGTGCCGACCATGGTAAGTCTGACTTCGTAATGCATTATATCGATCACTACCTAATTCTCGACAAGAACACATTTGTAGACAAGCTTGGCCCACTAGGATTCGACTCTTTTCGCATGCTCGTCATCGATTTCATGCATGAATGCGAGCTAGGCACATGGAAGGCACTATTCATGCACCTCGTCCGTCTACTTTACGCACTTCCTGGGGGTGATGGCCTGGTTTCACGTCTCGATGAAAGGTTCGTTATACACTATTTTCCTTCCTTGTATCAAATTGATGGTGTTCGACTTAGATTTCGCCTTGTTCCACCATACGACAACGGTGTTATTCGCAGATTTGCGAATAACACATCGGAAATGAAAAAACTTGCCGCACGAGACTTCGAGGACATTCTGCAGGTTCATCTTGTTGCTTTATGTATTGTAGTACGACATTGACTCATGTCTATTCTAAGTGTGCTATACCGGTCTTCGAAGGACTTTTCCCAGAAGGCCATGATGAGATTGTACAGTCACTGCTGTATAGGTTTGCGCACTGGCACGCTCTTGCGAAACTCAGGGTGCATACTGAAAGTACATTATCGGCTCTAGATAAGACATTTAAGAGGCTCTCCCGTCAGTTGCAGCAAGTTCCGTGATTTCACATGTGCTGCTTTCACCACAGCAGAGCTACCGAAAGAAAGAGCTGCGCGCGAGCGCAAGGCTGCGCGTGAACGCTCATGTCCCCACAATCCAGGACAGTGGGGGTAGCAGCCGAAAGGCTAAGAAATTCAATATGAATACCTATAAATTCCATGCTATGGGGGACTACTGTGCTGAACAATCCGGCTCTTTGGGACTACAGACTCCTTTACCACTCAAATTGTATGTAAATCTCTGTCATGTTTTTATTCAACTCGATTTGATTTTGTACCAGGGAGAGTTGGCGCATAAAGCGTTGAAAGCATTCTATCCTTTAACTAACAAGCGAGACATCCCGACTCAACTCGCTACGCATGAACGTCGTCAACGTGTCCTTCGGCGCGTAGCAGAATCCGGACAAAGTTCATGCGCTAGCAAGGATGTAGCGATCGACGTCCCTGTTGAATTCAATCTGAAACGTCATCACTATATACCAACGCTTAGCCGCAACCATCCAGTGGATATTTTTAGTTTTCTTCGCCAGCACGATAATGATCCAGCTGTATCAGTAGGTGCTTTTCTCATCGAGGTTAGCCTTACTCACGATAACTTATAGGGATTTATACCCAAACTCAAAGACCATATACTATATCGCCTCCGAGAGTTAGACGTCAGTTATTGTGACCACATGTTCACAGATGACGAACACAATTCGGTCGTCATCGCAGACAACAAGATGTACTCGGTTCAAACAATGCAGGTACGTTGCGTATATTATCAGCTTTGCTAGGATGTGATTCTCGAATCTCACAGGTACATTACACAACTTACGACCTTCGACGAGAGTATAACATCATCAATCCTCGAACCCATCCTGATATTATGGTCCTATCAGGGGAAACAAAACCCCAACATCCATTCTGGTATGCCCGCGTCCTGGGCATCTACTATATGGATGTATTGTTCAACACTGAAGGTTCGATGAAGATGCGCCAAGTCGAAGTTCTCTACGTTCGATGGCTGGCGCCCTTAATCGGCCATAAGTCAGGGATGAACTGCACTCAACTTCCGAAGGTTGCCTTCGTTGACGAGGCTGATCGTGACGCGTTTGGGTTCCTAAATCCTAGCCAGGTCATCCGAAGCGCACATTTAATTCTGGCCTTTGTTTCTGGGCGCGGAACGATGTCCCTTCGCCATGGTAAGTCCTTCGCTCGTCAAAGTGGCGAATTAGATGACTGGGAAGCGCATTACGTTGGCATGTAAGTTCAATCTCCTGTCTCATTTTTTTTACTTCAGCTGATGATCACTCAGATTCGCCGATCAGGACATGTTTCTTCGTTACACTCAATATGGAATTGGCCATCCTACTGTCCTGCGGGAAATGACAGAGATTCTATCAATGCAGAGTTAGCAGACAGCCCGGACTCGGACTCGGACTCGGACTCGGACTCGGAGGACTGCGAGAATGTTGAAAACATGGACTGCGAGAGCGATGGTAAGGAGGGTGCAAGTGGAATTGATGAAGACGAAGACGACCGGGGGATGGAAGACGAGGAGGAAGACGAGAAGAAGGAGGAGGAGGAGGAGGAGGAGGAGGAGGAGGAGGAGGAGGAGGAGGAACATTTTTTCTTTCTGAATATGCTACCAGTCCTCTTGATGGTTTATTTCTGTGCCTTGTTATTGTTCTTTACCATTTTCTCTTAGGCGTGCTCCCTTACTTTCATTCTATGACTCGCTGACTGTTTAGCAGGTACTTGGATTCACTTGAGACTACTTAATGATATATTTTCGGACTGTATCAATGTACTAAAGCGCAATGTTCTCATGTGTACTAGTAGTACGGGGGCAAGGTCATTCTTCCCTTCGATCCAAGAATTGCTGTGAAGATCAGCTTTAATGCGTCATCAGCGAGACGACAGGGCCACCGGAATGGAATGGGAATATTTGGGCGTTCGCGATTGTACTTTTGGACGTTTTAAAGCAGGGAAAATGTCATGATGAGCTATATTTTTGGCTAGCACAGATATCCAATATTGATCGCATCGCAACTTCAGCGGTGAATGCGACATCTTTACGGTTTAGGTTCAAGAAGCGACGGTTGTGCTGGGTAAGCAGACTAACCTGATAAGGTACTTACCATAAAAAGCCATGGAAGTTACAGAGCGTGATTGCCACTAGGTCACGTTTGTGCATAATTTGAACGCGATCCATACGACGAGCCTGCCAGTGGCTACTAGGAAGTAGTTACAATAACGATCTTAAACTACTCTGAGTCTTCATTGGGCCAATCTATGTAACCATCCATCACGGCGGCCCTTAGTACTGCTGACTCGGAGTCTGAGTTAGATTCCGCTGCGAGCTCAACTTGGGAAGCCGCCGCCGCCGCCGCGATAACAACCTGCGAGACATTGTACCAATTGACATCCGTAAAACTCAGCGACAACTCCGACTCCGGGCCATTGACCGTTTCATCAACTTCGTCTGGGAAGACCTCCATGCCATTTACCTCGATGAAGGGAGTTCCTGGGCGGGAGTTTCCCTGCGCCATAGCCTCAAGGGCTATATCCAAGTCCGATGGCGAGAGTCTGCCTGCGTCATACACGGATTCATGAGGTACAGTTATAACCTCGGACTGTTCCACAGAGTTGTAGTGAGTCTGAGTCGTATTGTCTGACGAGGTAGTCGTGATGGAGTACGGGGGCAGGTTGGGGGACTCGGACAGCTCAGCGTTGTCAGAGATTGTGCTAGCAAGGTCACTGCCACGGTGGACTGGACCTGTCACGGTGGTGTGGTCCATCTCGAGGCTGTCAGCCTGAGGCTCATCGTAGACTGTAAACGATCACGGTGGCGGCGACTAGTAAGCTTTGGCTCGCTAGAAATAAAAACCATCGCACTTACATCCACTGCGACCACGACTGCCAGTGACTGACTCGGTCCCAGCGGGATTTGGAAACCGGTGGTGAACATACCGTCCCACCCTGACAAGCGCCTGGACTCGTCCTCGGGGAAGTCGTGGTTTGACATAAAACTGAAATTTACACTCAGTTGGCTTCTCTATGAGGTCAAAAGGTGGATATCATGGTCAATCAGTGTTATACTGCCATTAAAAAAAGAAAAAATGCCTACTCATCGTGATTTGGCTTCACTGGCAAGTACAACGAGTCCAACGAGTGGAGGTTTGACTCGAGTCGAGCATGAAGCTTCATGACTAAATTTCTGCGGTAACAGCCGCACCGCGAGCCATGAGGATGATGATATGATCATCGTGTCACGGTGACTTTAACAACTGAGTACGGCGTGAGTCACGTAGCACCCTGTCACCGTGACACGAGTTTAACTTGAAGTCTGGCAGGGGTCAGCGCATTGGACTCGTAGTGCTTACTTACTCAGGCTAGACAGAGTCACAGTACGGCCACCGTAGCAGCCTGACTGTCATTTGAGTTCAGTCACATGATGATGGCCGCAGCGTGTTCGGAAGTGATACTAAAGTACTTGGAATCAGGCGATTGCCGCATGTTGGATCTTGCGACGGTTAACAGTCACGGTAAACTCGGAGGTACTACTAGTACTAGTAGTAAGTTTAAGCCTTCAAGCTTGTCCTTCTTCCGAGTCCGCGCTTGTGACATTTGTTTGTGACAAGACTCCGTGAATTTGAAATTAAACTTTGTCGCTACCTTCTCTACCGTGACGAGGCACGCAAGACATTCTAGTAGTACTAATCTGATTATATACTAACCTACCCACTGGCAAGCTTTCGACAAATTCAACGAAAGTTCAATAGTCGGGCCCATTTTAACCCAAGAGTCACGGTCACGGTAATCACTGATCTTCGCAGTGGGCGTCCCCCCTAGCCAATACCCGACTCGGACCCTGCGGAAGTCCATACTACGCGCTCAGCCTTGAATATTCCGAATCGGCACAACACCGTGACTATACACTGTGGTCCCCGACTCGCCAGAGGCTTTGGCAAGCCTGAGGTCACGGTCTAGGTTCGTAAATCTCCCAAATCAGCACGAACTAAATACGCGATATTACAGCAAACTACTTATCATGAATCATAGCCAATTCGCAAACTCAAGTTGAACTGTTCATGTTCAACTTGAAGTTGCTCAAGTTCAGAAGTTTCACCCCTAACATTATTAAACAACTAACCCTAAATCAAGAGTCTACTTTGGGAACCCCAGCAATGGCATTTCCCGCATGACTGATCACTTCTTATCACAGAACATCTATCTCGATTCTGACGTGACCTTTGAGCAAACCTTTGCCACACACCCAGCTCCATCGCACAGCCATGTCTACTATTACTGTGGCTAGCACTGACTCTACACCCGAGCTCTACAAACGATATCAAACCAGAAACAACTCCACTCTACAAGCAACACCTCGAACACCTCCTGTGAAGGCCACTGGGAATGTTCAAAAGTCTTTGACTCTGAAACCACTCACACCAGTTTTACAACTGAGTCAAACTGAGTGTGCAGCAAGCCCAAAGACATCTGAAACCCCTCTCCAAGAGCCCCACCTGAAATCAGTCGAGTTACAGGCCTCTGTCCCGCTGGATGTCGCCACAAATCCCAATCCCAATCCTTTGTATGATGGTCATGATGGTCTCCAACAGATACTTCAATATCATCTTGCCTCAAGTAGGTTCCATGAGAAGTAAAGGAATTAACTTATTCTAATCAATATTTGAAGATGGGCAAAACATTTTGAAAGAATTAACTAAACTGCCTGCAGGGACGGGCCGTATCATGGTGTGTACTGCACTTGAGAATCAATTGAATGGAAGATTCCATGCTTACCAAATATTCAGGAATTTCATGGTGTTCGTGCGCGGGAATTTGGAGCAATAGAAGAATTGTTAGGACAAACGGGCCGGGCATCCAAGCCCAGGTGTGTTAAACGAACTTCCTTCCGCTTTAGTAAATATACTAATGGGGTCAGGCTGAGTTACGATTATGACAAGCTCTCCCTCCTTGTCGAGATGCCAAGTGCCATACATGAAGCACCATTCGACTGTTTGAAGCTCTCCCTGGGACACCAAATCGCATCACTTCCTTACGATCACGATCTCATTTTTCCAATGGTTCACATGAACACATCGTTGAGCGTCGACTGCACATCAGTCACGCCGGACATGTGTATCACGGTCACAGCGGCAGAGGGACCTACCTCAGTCATGTTAGTTCCATTCATCGGGGAGTGCGCGTGCTCCGAGGACAAGGACCATGCCATCGGCAAACTCAAAAAAACCATCGCCGCTCATCCTCACGCCCAGATGGTCGCCCTGTGGCTAATCAACGAAGCACAACCATACAGCAGTCCAGAGGAGGGTTCTTTTGCATCGGATACCTTAAGCAAACACAAAGAAGCGCTTCCGCTCCACCAGTTCATCACTCAACGCCTTCCATCATGCCTGTCTATCAGTGTCGCCACTCACAACTGGTGCCACATCAGTTCAGTTGAGTTTTTCGTTTGGGTTCGAGGGGACGATGAAGCCGTTATCGACCTCGATAACGAAGATCCTGAACATATGGCACATGGGGTAAGTTTGTACATTCTCAAACAAAGTTTCCGCTTAAGTCTCTGATCTTGATTAAGACGTTGTTGCCCCACATCGAGATGGACGCTGTCCAAGCTATGTTGACGCGGGGATTGGGAAAGATCAGAGATAGCTTCGTCACATTCTCCAAAGAGCTCGACTGCGACACTGACTGTACCGAACTCCAAGAAGCCGTCATCACGTTTCCTGTTAGGTGGAAGGACTACGTCACAGCGTTTAGAAACGCTGTAGATCTTACCGCCTGGCGGAGATACAAGGCTTGGTACGAAGACGTCATCAGCGACCTCAAGAAGGATCCATCATACGTACCCTCAAATGCAGGAGAAGCGTCGGGCAGCTCTCGTGGACGCTCCAAGCGCAAGCGCACAAGCGCGTCTCTTCCCCCTCCCCCTCGCAAGTCGAAACGTGCCTTGTAGTGGTAGGTTTTGCACTGGTTTCTGCGCTAGATTCAGTGACATTTCTCGCATTTCCGTGCATCGCATCACATGAATTTACATCTTTTCACTTACGTAGGGTTCATGTTTCTTACGATTCACAATTCGTTTTCGCTACTCATTCAAAGCTTTCTACTACGTACCATTCCAACCACATCGTAGTCCGTATCTAGTTCATATCACATAGCCGTTGATGCATGCAGTCGTAATAGCAAGAACAACAACGTTTGCCGTAAATTTATGTGTGACTGCGATGAAAACGCCCAAGCGGCATTGATAGTTTACCACTCACCGTCTTACGTCGCATTATATCACAGTGCCTCGTGTCTCGTATTCGCCCACTTCTCACCTTTCAGCCAGTGACTAGGGCACAAGCACAACAACTTGATCATATGATTGCACGACATGTGCATGACTACTACCGCTTCCCATTCCATTTCAATTCGACACTCCTCTCCTTGCCCATTGACCTATTTGGCATGGGTTTTCCATCCATCTCTCGTCTAAATGACACACTCGCACTCCAGGGTATGCTACGCGACCTTAATCATCACATCCCGGCCTTCCGTACCATGGCAGCAATTACATTGTCCGACTGGATGTGTAGCCTGAACCACTGCATCTACCCTTTGGATGGGCCTTCTCTCCGTCGCAGTTTCAAACGGCTAAAACATGCTTTGCCACTGACTTGGATTATCGCACACGAGACATTGCGAAACTCCGAGCTCAGTGTACCCACTACAGATCAGTCATTCCTCCTTGGAGATGTCGCTCTACGCCATTTATCACGCGCATGTCCATCCTCTTTGTTTCCACTCTCCCCATCTGTCATTTCAATTCTCGAGACTGAAGGGTACTCGCGGCTTGGTGACCTTCTTGTTGCTCAACCTGCGGACCTTCCTGGTCTTCGTCTTCGACTTTCTTCTGCGACAATTGGCATGCTCGGCGGATGGCTGCAATCTCTCAATCCGAGTGCAATGTCCAATATCTATCTGGGCATTCAACCAAGTGCCATACCTTTGCCTGACCGAGTCTCGCTTCTTATTCCTCGTGCTGTCAGGCAGCATTATGCAGAATTGGCCCTACTTGGTGCTGTACATGTCTCCCCAACAGTCCCACGTCCGCTTCTGCCAGATTCCCTTATCGCGTGCGATGGCTCTATGGTGCCAGCCCACGTTAACTTCGACTGCGTGCGTTCCGTAACATTCGCAGTAACTGCTGTGTCAGGCGAGCTTGTCGGATCTCTCGATAATTATGCTAACGGCGCGACCATTCTTCATGGGGAATTGTACGGTCTTATCGTATCGGCCTTGTTGGCTCGTTCGGGCGTGCCAAACTCCACAATCCATAGCGATCATCTAAACGCCGTACGCGTCATAAACTCAAGCCTCGTCTCCCCCGTTCTACCCCACTCCTGGTCTATACTACCTGCGCGTTCACTATATCGCTGGTTATCCTCCATTGTATCATCCTCTCCCACTTCTCCCTCTTTCTCTCACATAAAAGCTCATACGACTTCATCCTCTCTTCCCGCGCAAGCTAACACAATCGTCGATGCCCTTGCTCGCGACTCTCATACTCGGCTAATTCGCCCTTACGCTGTTCCGTCTGGGAACTGTACCTGCAATCAAACCGCCGTGCCAAGTTTCAACACCATTGGGAACCAAAATTGCGCACACGTGGCATATTGCGAGCATTCGTTTGGCAGCGCAGATCTGGGGAACTTATAGGCGTATTGTCAATCCATCGGTCGATAAAGCTCAGCGCGTATTTCATTTACCTATACACTTACAACACCTCCATCCACGTTCATGATTGTTTTTGTTTTGCATTCTGTCTTATCAATGAGCTGGCGAGGTACATACTATATGTGGTGCCTGAGTTACATCTGTAGCGTAGTCAGCCAATGAAAATCGTTTATCGTTTATCGCCAAGTCCCCGCACACTTTCAGCAGCAAAATATTCACATCAATATTTGCGCCAGGCGTCAATTGCAAGCCTCGAGGAGATGAAACGATGGGGCTTCGAACAAAAGCGAAAACAGTTGGCAAAGGCTGGAAAGGTGATGGGACCGGAGGACGATAAGCTCATGAGTTTTTTGCCCTCTTCTTTGCCTCACTTTTGAGACAGCGACCAGTCAAACACATCTTACACATTAATGTCTGGTGCGAGCAAGCTCTGGGCTCTTGCGCTTACTTATCCATACCAAGTTATTCGCTCTCAAATACAGGTGAGACGATTCTTGTTTCCTGCATCATGTCTTAATCCCCAGTCCCAGAACAATGCTACCACTCACTTATACCCCGACATACCGACCACTATCAAACGCACTTGGCAAGGCGAAGGGGTTCGTGGGTTATATCGCGAATGGGAGCGACTAGTTCAGGAGAAGAAGTCACTAACTCACAAGCATGGATACCGAAAGGTACTCTAGGCATTTTGATAAGATTCTGCACCGCGGTCACGGTGATGAGGTCCCGTCATGGTCCACTGTCCCAAGAACAGGCTGAACGTCCGAGTCGGTTACGGTTTGGTCCAGCGATTGCGAGGATAAGTGAGTGCCTACCATCCTCTGTTCTTGACGAACATGTATGATGTCCTTCGCGCAAGATGTTTATCATAAATTTGATCAGTGGTACGCCCATTTACTACTTCCTCTCGATCTCCTTGCCTGATCCGCTCCACGCCATCATGATATCTCACCAAACGCCGCCTGCTGAAACTCCTGAAAGCTGCTCTCGACATGGAAATGTCACCTTACCGTGACTATCGGAGCAGGCCCGTGCGGCTATCACGATAGTACTAGTAGTACGGCTGAGTAATGACGATGAACTTGAAGACAGCGGCCACCACGACGAAACTGTTTTTTGGTCATTACTACAAGATGGCAGCGACAGGTCTTCAGAGGTCACCGCAGATTCTGATCAAAAAGAAGGTGTAGTATCTCTCATAAGGTCCGAATTTTACCAGGTGACAAAACAATCAGCGGCATCATGATGATGATGCGAACTTGTAAGTTTCCAATTGATGATTCAGGTTCGATGGTTAATCTTCTTTACACTAAGCTAGTCATTGCTCTCAGCTGATTTTGATGGGGACTGGTGCATATATCGATTTGAAGTTCCAAGGTCAACGCCAAACTAGACTGGTGGCGAACGAACTTGAATATCCACATCTCCAGGCGGGCCCTGACTCCGATTTCAAGTTGAAGTCGAGCCGCTGCTTACTCGTGCTTTCGGGCTCCGAAAACTTGTTTGCGACTGCTTCTCGCAATGACAATTATGGTAATCACTTTTTTAGGAAGTGCTTGGGAACCTCGATATTTAAAGGCGGACGTTCTGTAAGTCACTATCAATTCGCTCTTTTCTCCCTGGCTCACTTTGTCCTCGCTCTTTCGCTCCACCTTCCTTTACCTTTCCTCTCACCTCACCTCTCCCCTTCGCCCGCCAGGCCCTTCCTTTACTACCCCTTCCACTCTACCCTGGGATGACATCCGTCACCTCTAGTACTAATAACAGCTTTTCCGAGCCAGCGTCCGGGGCGTCGTCTGATGATGAGGCGGATGATCCAAGAGTTCAATCTTTAGCGAACCTAGATCCGGCGTCTCAAGCCATACCCACCTCTTCCAAAGCACGGGCTAAACGACGCATTGCTGCCTTAGAAGACGAGCTCGCGACGATGCGGCAAGAGAGAGGAGGAAAGCAGAGGTAGTATGATATGTTGCTCACCACGCTTGCACTAATATTTAATTGTTATCATTTTGCAGAAAGACAACCTTCTATGTCGCGCAGGGTAGGGCAATTCGTCGACTCAGTTGTTCTTTACCACACCATGGAAAACTTGATCGCAGAGAACGATCGCAGAAACTGAGTTCCACTCGTCGGTGGAAGCAACCACGGAGTAAGTCAGTTGGATTTGTTTATACGATCTTTCTAATTCCATGACGCAGGCAAAATCGCTCACAGCGTGGCTATGTTGAATTGTCGCGGGTGCTACCAGTGGTTACATGATAAGCTCGGTGAGCTTGACCAAGAAGATTCGGAATGTTATGTTGAAGAAGGCGTGTGGTTTCGAAGACATTCACATGCTGCATGCTAATTATCTTATAGCTCAAGAAAGGAGCGGATGCAGCTTGCGGCGATGACACCTCCAGCCTCAAGGAGCTTGTCGCCGTCTGGGTTAATCAAGAGTTCCGTCCGTCTCCTCTTATCAAGCCAAATGACAAGTATTTGCGCGGCTTCACGAATGATATCTGCGGGAAATTACTCTGCCCTGCTGAGTGGGACTGGGATAAAACAAGGTGAGCGCCAACCCTTCTCGACTATCACAAATATTGATGCTGGTCCAGTGTCAAGACCGGCATTCGCGACAGAACATCGGAATATATTGTCTCCGAAAACTCTTGGCCGTTGTTCGTCTATGAGAAATATCAATATAACAGTGACGACATCGAGGAAGGTTTCTTGAAGTCGAAGCTTCTAGTTCTTGTTAGCGGTTTGGTCACAGCATAGCCGTATATATTTTTACTCATGACATTCTAGGCTTTCAAAGCTGTTTTTACATCACCTTCATCTGCGAGGGAAGCTGACGGGGACGGCGACGGAGCTGACATTCTTGAGAATAACAGGCGCGCCCACCGGAAATCTGAACTGACGAAGGTCAAGACATGTGTCGCCTCGATCATCAACATGAAGAAAGTCACGCCTCGTGCTATTGCAGTATGTTGTCTGTCAAGTGAGAAAATCTTATCGTCTTCATGTCCAGAATCTAACACTTAAGTTGCAGGTTCGTTTTGCGCTATCAAGCGTCTCATCTTGGCGCACCGTGGACGGCGACTTCGACTATGAAGTGTTTTGGAACAACATCGTGGATTACTTCGAAGTTCTCCCTGGCCCTGTCGCGAAACTGCAAGGTGGACAAACTTCTCGAATGGTGGAACAGGTAAATACATTAGCGCAGTCTTCAGATGATGATTAGATAACTGACATTGTTGTGTAGGAAAATATTTGGAACAAATCATCAGCGAGGACCTGACACCAGAGGTTGTGTCCCACATGTCCGTCAATGCGCTGGCTGAACAGAGGAAGAGATTGGAGGATGCTGTTTTTGACTCTGACTGATAAATTGATCTTCCCCTCCTCGCTGTTGTCCCTTGTCTGTTACCGCTATTCCATTTGCCCATTAATTCATTACAATCTACTCCACAACACTAATCTAATAGTTTATATTCATGTCTACAAAGCATAGTTGCAAATATCACGAGTTACACCATTGAATTGCTGTTTGAAATTGCAAGTGAACCTAAGGGACAATTGTCAGTTGTATTTCATGTTGTCACGCATGCTAATCGCTACTGAATTTTGCGTAATGTGCGATGCTGCCAACTGACGAGGAATTTTCCCAATTATCCCACCATAGCGAAGACTGGGCCAACGGGAAAATGCTATGTGACCTCACAATCGGTCAAGAAAAGGTCTCTAACTATAATGCCCTTCGTCGAGGAGGTCATCCGCAGTCTCTGACTGGATAGACTCAGGTTGGCAGTCTAAAATCCCGTAACATTCAACATGCCCGCTATTATGGAATTTATCATAATGTACATTGCTGCCCAAGCGACAAGGAGATTTACTAACTATCCGACCGTAGTGATGACTGCGCAAACGAAAATATACTATATGTCTTCGCGATCGACCATCAGAAGTTTTTGAACTACGATTATCTTCATCAAGGAGGTCGTTTGTGGTCTCAGACTGGAGGGGGTCAATCGACAGTCCGAAATCTAATGTCACAATATGCTGACTGTTACTAGACTTATTGCAATGTAAAATATTGCCCGAGCGACAAGGAAATTCTCACTTTATATGACCGTAGTACAAATCGCGCTGAAAAAGATATGTTGCGTGCCTGTGCGATCAAACCGTGAAAGTCATCTAAATGTAATGCCCTCAGCCGAGGAGGTCAATAGCATCCTGGAACTAAATAAGTTTAGGTGACATACACAAAGAAGAGAGGCACATCGGGTGGATGAAGAAACTGTGGCAAACATTGGAATGTGAAAATACAGTTCAGTAGATAGCGGAATCGGCGCAAAAAATTCCAGACCTGGTATTACCTGTTCTCGTGATCGGCATCTGTAACTGGTCCAAAATGTCACGTGTCTGAGCAACAACCCAATGTGAGTGCTAAATTTGAAAATAAGACATACTTCGTGATCTGCCTGAAACTCTGTGATCCCGCTCTTCAGTGTTCACGCCATGAAACATTGTGTGCCCGCCAATTCGTTCGATTTGGAACGCCAGTGGCACGTATTATTTGTCTTTGCTAAAGTTGATCAGGATGCTCGGACTTGATCCGCAAAAGCAATTTGTGAATCAAGTATGATTATGTTAATTCCCAGAGGCTTTGCTGGTAGAAGAATTTTACCGTAGTGTGTAGAGTCTGACACTGAGTTGAAAGTCCTAGACAGCATCGCAATATCTCATTCAATATAGCGCTTGAGACTATCAGTTTTTGAAGGTCAAGCTGTGCTGTGAATGGGAGAATCAGACATCACAGGCCAGGCGATTTAAAACTTCAAGTGTCATATTAAAGCTGCACTCGGTCATGCAAGACAAGATTTTATGGTTTTCAGCATTGCGCAAGTGAATCACACCCATGTGAGTGGGGACCTTGGTACTTTGTCTTGATAATTATGATCTAAATTTCACTTCATTGGCTTGTGTCGCATCTTCCATTCGTAGACCAGTGCACACATAAACCAGCGCATCGAGGGTAAAACAGCATGGCTGGTTGACTTTAAAATTCATGTGACCTTCACAAAGTAAAGTAAACCCCCCCACCAGATTTACGGAAATTATTGTGATTGTTAGCTATATATAATCAATTATGACATTCCATTTTGTTCATCTGTTCACTGATGACAAAGTCTTCTCTTCTTCAGTTCTTCACCGCACACTTCTCTGTGAGTTCAACCGAGTTTGGCAGTATTTCGCATGATGTGGGTCTGAGTGTAGATCAGTGATCTGAATCGTTTCCATGAAGCATTCAATATTAGTGGTACTCAGAATAAATCTTGAAACTCCTTGAAAACTCGCCTAAAGCTCGGCTACATCAACAAAACACAGCATGAGCATGTGCCGCAATTGAAAGTCAGGCCGGCATCGCACATCGGAGTTCGAAAAACATGCCTGTCGTTCGCCAACGTGCTCGCCGGTCTGCACGACTTAGAGCCAACACTCATCCACGCGCGAGGGCGATGGACCATCCGCCATCCACCTCACAAGCTCATCCCACTCCTGCAAGTGATTCTGGACCCAGGTTGACAGTTCAGTGGGGCAAAGAAGATGCTCTCACCGATATCCTGGTGGATCATATCACCTCCCACCCCGCCGACAGCCGTATATTGTTCTACTCCGAGGGCAAAAATATGATCCCTGAAACTGATGACCAGCCCTCGGGGAAGGACAAATCTGATATCTACGGTGTTCTCGCCCGTCTCATATTCGCCAACCACCTCAAATATGGCAACGCATACCGCCAGAATCCAAAGAAATTTTGTGACTCAGTTGCCAACCACATCGTGAGGTGAGTAGTCTCCTATTCGCACTTAGATACACTGATAAAACTCCTAAAATTTGTACAGTCTCAAAAATAGGTACAAGAAGCTCAAGACCAGCCTTACTTCAACTGGCGCTGGTGTACTGCCTGGTGATGGGTATGCAAATTTATTAGGTGAGTGCTTCGCCCCGATTTTTCATTCTGATCTGATTGCACTTTTAGCCAAAATCAACAGTGAATGGAAGTGGTTTTCCGACCTCGATGCAATTTGGCACTCAAACCCCGCGTTCGCAGCCCCAACACACTCATCGAGGCCAGGTGTCGATCACGCTGGTCAGATGTTCTCACTCACGCAAGTGCCGCATAGTAGGGCTAGTGCTTCCTCAAAGCGTTTGGAGGGTGCCACTCAGCCTCAGCCTCAGCCTCCCTCATCTAGTGAAGATGCTCCTCTGCCCCCTGTTAAGACCGTGCTCAAAGGGCAGATCCAAAGGGCTTGGCTTCAGCTCGTGCGCTGCGCCCCTTACCTGAGTACGTGCCCTTAATTTCCGAAGGCTAGAAACAAAGTCCGAGGGAGGATGATGAATCCCGGTGGACTTCAAGGGGACAAGTCTGGTAGGCTTTTTGAGGAAGAGTCAGGCCGATGTTCAGGGGGTTAGTCCGGTCGACGTAAGGAGGGTTCGTCGGCCGACGTAAGGAGGGTTAGTCCGGCCGATCATAGGGTTAGTCCGGCTGATATAAGAGGATTAGTCCGGCCGACATAAAGGGGGTTCGTCGGCCGACATAAGGAGGGTTAGTCCGGCCGACATAAGAGGATTAGTCCGCCGGACAATAGGGGCTTAGTACACCCGGAGAATAGGGGCTTTAGTCCGGCGGACGTGGGGGACAGAACAGACAGGTGTAAGGACAGAAAGACAGGAAGTCCGAGGGGACAGAAGGACAGGATGTCCGAAAGGACAGAAGCTAGAGGTAGGACTACACTAGACAATGTCCAGAGTAGAAACTGACAGAGGTGGACTACCCGAAGGTAGAGGCGGAGTATAGCCCGAGGAATCAATCCCAGGACACAGAGGTTGGACAGGGAAGTGGACCCGGGCCCATGGAAATGGATCCGGGTCCGAGGAAACAGGAATGAGGATAATCTAAGGTGATATTCGAACTCTGGAAACTACTACGAGTTTACAAGGTATTATATACTATGGACATGTGCGACGGGGACGGAGTCAGCGGAGATCCGGGTCAACGCGAGGAACATATGGAAAGGTTAAACCGACAGGCGCAAGGAAAATAATACAGGAACAGAGACAGAGATGAAGTATCAAATGGATCTGGGCATAGGAGGTATGATTGAGAATGAAGTCGGATATTAACTGTCAAACAGATCCGGGCATATAGGGGTTAGGACAAGGGGACTATACAAATGGGGTAACAGAATAGGAGCAGGACCGGAAATGAACTGTCAAGCGGATCATGGGAAATGGGGACGGAGATGAACTGTGAAGTGGATCCGATGTTTTTAGGGGTTAAGTGGACCTGGGTCCAAAGCTCAGGATCTGAGTAGGTCTGATGTTTAGGGTCCGATGCTTAGGGGTTAAGTGGACCCGAGCGGGTCCGACGTATAGGATGTCCGACGAATACAGGAGGAGTGGACAAGTGGACAAGTGGACGAGCGGACGAGTGAACAAGCGGACGGGTGGACGAGCGGACGAGTGAACAAGCGGATGAGTGGACGAGTGGACGACATGAGTGGGATCCGACAAATAGGACGTCCAACAAATAGGACGTCCGACGAAAAGGAGATCCGAGGTATACAGGAGGAGGACCGATGAATAGGACGTCCGACGTATAGGACATCCGATGTATATGGGAAACAGGGCAGATCCTGCTGAGGGGTATGTCTGGTGGAGACTGGGATGCGGAGTTATCCTGCCGAGGGGTAGGGATAGGGTTAAGGCATAGCTTGGCTACATTTCGGAGGTCCGGACATTGTTTGTTGGGAGAGATGGGATATGATTCAGGGGCTCAGTGTACGGTATATGACACCCCCCCCCTCGTAACGATCCTCCCATCGACCCACGTCTACTTCAACCTGCTCCTCAGCCCCCCCCTCGTAATGATCCTCCCATCGACCCATGTCTACTCCAACCCGCTCCGTCTCTTGCCCCCGTTTTTCATAACGGCCAACCTGGTCTTCCCCCTGCTCCCCCCCCCTGGATTTCCCCCCTCTCTCCCCCCTGGATTGCCTCCGGTGCCCCCCCTGGTTTTCCCCCCCACTCCCCCCCCTGGTTTTACCCCCGCTCCCCCCCAGGTCCACCTTCATGGCCTCCCTAACGTTGACGACGATATAATACCTGACGACGACTATTCCGCCGGTGCATTTTCTGCCCCCCAAGCGCAGGACCACCAGCAGGATGATGACGACATGCTCCTCAATAGCCCGCCGAAAGTTGCGGGGAAGAAACGACGCAACATAGTGTCGCCCTCGCCCTCACCCCCTCCTGAACCCCCTCACCCTTTCTCAATGCCAGAGAAGTCCCCTGCCTCTTTCTACGACAGTCGTTCGGCG